AGAAAGCAAGCAAGATATTGAAAACCTATTGGAAGAAATAATGACAGAAAACTTCCCCTACCTGGTGAAAGAAATAGACTTACAAGTCTAGGAAGCACAGAGAGTCCCAAAAAGAGGAACCCAAAGAAGCCCACACTGAAAAGCATCATAATTAAAATGCCAAAGGTTAGAGACAAAGGAGAATCTTAGAAGCAGCAAGAGAAACGCAGTTAGTACAAAGAAGAAGGAAATATGAACAATAAAATGGCAATAAATGCATATCAACAATTGAATCTAAAAATCAAAATAAACGAACGAGGAATCTAATGACCAAAATAAACTGATGAATAAAATAGAACCAGAGGCATAGAAACATGGAACAGACTGAGGAATCTCAGAGGGAAGTGGGGATGAGGGGCAGGAAGAGATTAACCAAAGAACTTATATGTACATAAGGCATTACCTATGGACACAGACAATAGGATAGTGAAGGCTTGTGGCGGGGTGGGAACTGGGTAGAGGGGGCAGTGTGGGGGAAAAGGGAGTCATCTGTAATATTCTCAACAATAGTAAAAATAAATAAAAAATTTAAAAAAAAAGAATCTGGACAATCACAACTGACTTTACATGCTTGTGCTTATGTAAAACGATGAATCAATCAATCAATCAACAAATGCATGCATTCGGCCTCATGTCTCTGATTCTACACAAAAGAAGGAAGAGTTTAATATAAAGGTCATTCAAAATTGCCTTGACTTCCTGGATTCTCCCTCGTCTTTGCACTGATCCCACTCAACGTGAAGGTCAAGATATGCGATCCTCTAAACTGACTTAATTAATTATAACTATTAGTTTAAGTGAATAGTGGATGGTTCCAGCAATATCCTAGGCAATAAGAAAGAATTGTATTCCTATATTTGTAAGAGTACATTCATAAAGATAATAAAAGGAAAAGTAATATTATTTCTGCGTGTCCTAACAGGCAGCCACAGTCAGAAATCAGAACCTGTGAACAGCCACAACGCTTGCACCATCATGCAAGGAAAGGGTCAGAGACAGTTCTAGCAGGTAATAAATAAATAAATCTCTCTAAAGTTATATTAATTATTATTCACTGATGGTTTTAGAATATGTTTCTTTTAAAAACAAGAAGGAAAAAATTAAGTATTTCTTACTCGATTGATAATGACAGCATTCACATTCACAGTCAACTATGCTGAAAGAATATGTCTTGTCCTAATAGGGGACACACTTTAAATTGGTGTTTAAAATTGAAAGATTACACATAGAAAGCAATTATAAAAATGATAGGCTGAGGGGGACCTTGAGGAACTGAGAACATATTTATCACTAGCAACCATCACAAAACCTGGTACCTTAAAGCAATAAGTTTTTGTTTATTAAACAGATATTCCAATTCAGACTGCAATATTCACACAAAAAAGCAACATCACAATTACCTGCACTTTAATGTAATTTCAAAACCATTTTGTAAATAAACGGAAACAAGGAAGTGTCACTTATGAATAGCAACCAATCCTATAATGATTTTGGAAGTAGCTGAATTATCCACACTGTGCACTGGAAACAAGACAACATTTAATAAGAACATATATAAACTAGGTAAGAAGCAAGATAAAGAATCAGTTATGATCATCACTTGTAATAGATTGCAGGGGACCACCTTAACAATTTCATTACAGCACCACTATGGCAAATATTATAACCCTAACTAAGTAATTAGTAAGGGATTTCCTATATAAAAATAATACTTCCTCTTTTTAAAAGTGGTCACCTGTCGAGTTGGTAAATTAGCGGTAGTTGGGATAAATAATATACTTGGTACAGGCTGCTTGTTATCCAAATACAGCAGTCCAAAAACAAACTCAACTGTTTAATTATAGGAGGCTAATGCAGGTTCCTATGAGGTTTCAGATAATTGTTTATTTTACCATATAAGCATGAATGACTATGAAAAGATCTAAAGCTATTTAATGAGAAAGTTTTACTATGTATTGTTAAGCTAGTGGGAATCTACTGAAACATTTAAAACCATGTAGGCTACTGGAATTGATTTTAAACACTCTAGATCCGTGGTCGGCAAACTGCGGCTCGCGAGCCACATGCAGCTCTTTGGCCCCTTGAGTGTGGCTCTTCCTAAGCCTTAGGAGTACCCTAATTAAGTTAATAACAATGTACCTACCTATATAGTTTAAGTTTAAAAAATCTGGCTCTCAAAAGAAATTTCAATCGTTGTACTGTTGATATTTGGCTCTGTTGACTGATGAGTTTGCCGACCACTGCTCTAGATGTTCTACATAGTTAAACTCCTGTTTCTAACAGTAGTCAATTCCAAAAGCCTTATGTGAGCATTAATTACATAGCATATAGGCAGACTCATCATTTACTCTGGATTCAAATTTCCCTGAACATTGCCTAAGAAATTTTTATGTTCCATGTTAGCTTGTTAAACAACTCAATAAAACCACAGCAATTAAAATAATTATTTTCCACACACTGAGATGTCTAATAACATGTGTCGCTTGAAACACTGTATTTTGCCACCTGCTGGTTCATCTTTTCACAGATTTAACCAAATGCTTGGGTGGCAGGGTTTTCGTGATTCATGAATCAAGATTATTTGCAAGTGGCAACACTGAAGAAATAAAGTTAGAATTAGTCTTTCCAGGTTTAATCACAATGATATTGCTTTCCTTTTTCCCATTACTTGATAAATCCATTACACATTATATTTTAAATGTACAATGAACTCTCATTAATTTCAGATTAACTTAGTAACAGACCAGAGTATAATTTTTGAAGAAGTTTAGTCACTGCTATCATTATAGAATTAATGTCCAATCTCTCTGAATAGCCTTCCTGCATGGAAATGCTTCTCACCAACTACTGCCTATACATTGTTAACATGCATGCACACGCCATTGTACATCCTATTCCACTGCCATTTATCATTTACTAGTTTTAAATATTCATGCTGCACTACCTACAAAACAGAAACAAATCAAAGCATATCTCTTGAAAGCTCTATATATTACAAAATCAAAAAATGTTAGAGCTGGAAGGGATACAAATTTTTGTCCAACTTCCTCATTCTAACATAAAAAGAAGAAAGCTGAGACCCAGAGATTGACTTAGATACTGTCACAAAGCTATATAGCATCAGAACTTGATCAACTCTTTCCCATGACATAACCAGAGTAACCTAAGATTGTCATCTTTACCACAGGCACTTTCTGACAGCAGAAGCTGAGTTCCTAGAAAAACTATTTAAAAAAACCCATTGGTAATAAATCACCATTCATAAAAAATCAATCAGTAGAGTACATACAATGAGAAAAAAATCTCTTGGTAATAGACTGCTCTTGGCACTCCACTAGTGTTTGAAAAGTGAACTCAGAACTCAGAAATAGGAATAAGCCCTGGCCGGTTTGGCTCAGTGGATAGAGTGTCGGCCTTCGAACTGAAAGGTCCCAGGTTCGACTCCTGTCAAAGGCACATGCCCGGGTTGCGGGCTCCATCCCCAGTAGGGGGCGTGCAGGAGGCAGCCAATCCATGATTCTCTCTCATCATGGATGTTTCTCTCTCTCTCCCTCCCTCTTCCTTCCTCTCTGAAATCAATAAAAATATATTTTTAAAAAAGAAAAGAAATAGGAATAAACCTCTTATGTTTTCTCTTAACACCTAATTCAGGATTCACCTTCCTGCTGGTAGGCCTTCATATTTGCTGACTGAGGAAGATGGGATTGATTGTTCACAACCACACCTTAAACCTTGTTCCTGGAACCTACCTCCTTGGCCATGTCTGTGTATTTCTGCTTTTCCTTTGGATCAAGAACAGCCCACCAATCAGCCAGTATCTTGGTAGCACCTCGGTTATCAAGCCTGGGGTGTTTCTGACGGACAAGGGAGCGATGGCGTTTGCAAAATAAGAGAAATGCATTCATTGGTCTCCGGGCTCGCTGCTCTGGTGATTCATCATCTTCAGTCTCAGCAACATCTTGCTCTAGGCCATCAGCCCCAAGAAGTTGAACCTATTACCAAACAAACAAAAGCCAAATGTTTAACACATCCTGGATAATTCTGCTTTAACATTTAGTCTTGGTTTTCAAATTGCTTTTTTTTAGCACCATTTAAAAAACTTATAAATTGAGAAAAAAATTATTAACCAGTAGTGGTTGGTAAACAACGTATAATGTATTCTTCTGCTTAGTTTCTACAGAAACCTGAGCATGTCTATTACAGAATATATTATATTGTGTTGTATTTGCTTACACAGCACCTAGCTCAATGTCTGGTATAACATTAGTACTTAACTGTTGAATGAATAAACCCATTCTGTGGTATATGGGTCTCAAGATTAACAAAAATATTCACATAAAGTACACAAATATTAAGAGTTGTCTTTCTCCTCTTTATAAAGTGCTTTCCTATGGCCAAAAACATGAAAATAGACCATAAAAACCTAAATATAATACTCAATGTTTATGTGCACATCATAAGTAGAGCCTCCTACTGTGAAAATCAAAATAGACATGTAATATTATTTGAAGGAATAACTACGTTGTGCATTTTCAAGCTTATAAATATTTTCCAGTCTAGTGAAATACTATGGTGATAGGAATAAACTCATCCAGACCTAAACCTTCAAAATCAGTTCTGAATCCCCGCTTTTTCTAAGCATTTCATTTCATTCAAGGTCTTCAAGGACTCTGCAAAGCTCTGATCCTGTCCACTGCATCCCCTTTTTCTAAGCATTTCATTTCATTCAAGGACTCTGCAAAGCTCTGATCCTGTCCACTGCATCTGTGTAATTCTCATTGCTACTTTACTAGTACCACTCCAGTCAATGGCCTAGTCTTCCTGCTTTTAACCTCTTATAGACTTCCTGCACCTGGCTGAAGATTAAATTTCTTAAAGCACATCTCTGATCACTGAATCTCACAATATATTAGCATTGTCAATCATCATCTAATTCTAAATTATGATTTCAGAATATATCTTAGAAATATTGCAACCATGAACAGAAGTCCAGAATGCTTACTAAAAAGCATTTCTTTAATTTATTGTTTCATAGTTAAAATCAAGAAGATTGAAGTTGTTGTCAGTCTGCATTATACAGTAGGGTAGTAGTTCTTAAACTTGGATGAGCACTGAAATCCTCAAAGGTCTTGTTAAAACAGATTGTTAGGTCCTATTCCCAGAGTTTCTGACTCTGTAGATCTGGAGTTGGCCTTAATAATTTGTATTTCTAACAAGTTCCCACCTGATGCTGATGCTGCCAGTCTGAAAATCACACTTTGAGAACCACTACATAAGGTAACTGTGTTCTTTTATATACAGATAAGATACTCTAGGACAAATCATTAGCTTAATCTAATGTAGTATTTTTTTAAAAAGTCTTTTATGTTTAAAGTAAGTATTGCAAATGCATTTAATTAACCATCAATTATTTTCAAACACAAATAGTACAGAATAAACTTTAAATCACAGCAATCTGATTTGGAAATCCATTATAGATTATTATTGGGCTGAAGGCTACAGATTTTTCTTATTATGTATACAATCATTAACAATAATTTGAATATTCAAGGAATATTTATTTAGCATTCTGAAACTGAGTAAGAAGCTAAAGAAAAACCAGGCATTAACAAATGTATTATGGGGAGAAAAATGGTGGCTGAATAGGCTGGCCTGTTGTGCACCTCATCCCAGGGCCAAACTGGAAATACAACTATATTGGAGAACATTCAGCTGGAATTACCAACTGAGATCCAGCTGAGGAGGAGACATACCAAGGAAGGACAGAAAACGCCTGGAGGCTGGTAGAAAGGGCAAGGTCCTGAGGAGCTGACCCAGAAGACAGAGGCCCAGAACACAGGCTGGGCTCTACAGCCTAGAGCACCAGAGCCCATACCAGCAACCCACTTAATGTCCACCATGAAAGGCGACAGACCTGCTGGCCGCAGCAGAGCCTGGAGCCATGAAACAGGGCCGGTAGGAGAGAAAGCCACAGTTTCGTTTTGGTTTTCTTTCTTCGTGCCCTCCACCCCTACAGCACAGGAGTTTTCATTTGCAGCTACTCACCCAAGGCTTTGGAGCAGGGAGGGAGACCCGGACTTGAGGTGCCTAAGTAGAGTCTGGGGTGGGAAGCATTGCAGGGAGACTTGGAAAAACAGCATCCAGGAACATTTGGTAATAGGCCCCCAAAACCAAAACGGCCATTTTTCCTGAGGAGCTAGCTGCTCCCAGAAGTGGCAGGGAAGGAACAGAAAAAAAACCCCCGCCGTAGGTGATACAGTTTGCCCCACCCTCAGGAGTCCTGCATGCCAGACCCTGCATTTTGACCTTTTCAGAGGAACCAAAATCAGAGGCCAAGTTTACGGGTTTGAATAGTCTCAAGGAGCCCTCAGTAACTGGACTGAAGGAGGGGCCGTCCACCTCGCTACCCTGGGAACTATACTGATACTTTCCCCACACAGGAGAACTGATAAAAAACTCCAGGTTTCCAGCCTACCCCTTTAGTCTACATACAAGGATCTCTGTCAAGCCAAAGACAGAGTAACATTTTGGGCCGCTCACAGAGGAATAGCTCTTGGACAGGGAAACACACCCACCACATTCCCTAAAAGCTAAACAGCACCTCTCCCGCCTACAGCCCTTTCAGAAACAGACTTTTGAGTGATTGAGATTGACAGCGGGCTAGCAGGCAAAGGCAGGCAGAAGCCAGACTTGGGAACCAGGGGAAGTTTGCTGACCCAGCCCTGGCCCCATGGTGCTAACAAACCTACTTTAGAGGGCAGATTGGCCCCTCATGCTTACAACCAAGGCCTGTGGAGATAGTCACAAACAGTACAACAGTAGATAGCTTGGAGCTTCAAGCAGGTTGCTGAAAGCCAAAAGACAATGACTGACAGTGGTTAGCACCTAAGTACCTGACGGGAAGCCCAGAATTAGCAGACAGAAGAGTGGAATCCAAAGCGAGCTCCCATGGGGTACTGAACTCCACTGAAAAGAAGGCCACTCAGAATTAGCCAGAAGAGTGGAATCCAAAGCGAGCTCCCATGGGGTACTGAACTCCACTGAAAAGAAGGCCACTTATTTGTTTTAAACTTTTTTTTCCTCCCGTTTTTCTTATCTTTTCTTATTTTTCTCTTTCTTTTCTTTTGTCACCTTTTTAAATCTATCTTCTTTATCTATCTGCTTTATTGATTTGCTATTATTCTAGTCTCTGTTGTTTTGTTCATCTATCTAATTTTCCTCTTCCCTTTTCTGAATCAAATTTTTTTCATTGGTCTTTTTTCACTACTCATTTCCCTCCCCCGCTCTTTTCTTTTTCTCCTGCTTTCTCATCTTGTTTATTTTAGGCCTATCCACTATCTCCTCTATTTTCCTTTTCCAATTTTCTTTCTTTTCTCCTTCCTTTATTTTAAATCCTTTTCCTTTCCTTACTCCTCTAATTGTTTATATGTATTTTCTTTATTTCAGCATTTCATCTACATATTCGGCCCCTCCTTTTCTAATTTTGTTTGTGCCTTTTTTTGTTTTGTTTTCTCCTCATATTTTTTCTTGCTCTCTTTTCTCTATCCTAACGCTCTCTTCTCTGGTGGTTGCTTTTGTTGGTGTTGTATTGGTATTGTGTACATTTCTGTTTTGTTTCTCCTGTTTCATGTTTTGTTGTGTTGTATTTTGTTCTGTTTGGTCAGCACCTCCACAACAGCTCGCAAGATGTGGTTAGGGGTGAGCCACATCGTCTAGGGCAAAGGAAACTAAGGAGAAAATAAACAAATGGGACTACATCAAAATAAAAAAGCTTCTGCACAGCAAAAGAAACCATCAACAAAATGAAAAGAGAGCCCACTGCAGGGAGAACATATTTGCCAATGTTATATCTGATAAGGGGTTAATTTCCAAAATACATATGGAACTCATATAACTTAACTAAAGGAAGAGAAACAATCCAATTGAAAAATGGGCGAAGGACCTAAATGGACACTTCTCCAAAGTGGACATACAGATGGCCAAGAGACATATGAAAAAATGCTCAAAGTCACTGATCATCACAGACGTGCAAATTAAAATGACAATGAGGCATCTCCTAACACCTATCAGGATAGCTACCATCAACACAACAAATGACAAGTGCTGGGTAGGATGTGTAGAAAAGGTAACCGTAGTACTTTGCTGTTGGGAATGCAGACTGGTGCAGCCATTATGGAAAACAGTATGGAGTTTCCTCAAAAAATTAAAATGGAACTGCCATTTGACTCAGTGATCCCACTTATAAAAATATATCCTAAGAAACCGGAAACACCAATAAAAAAGAATGTATGCACTCCTATGTTCATAGCAGCACAATTTACAATAGCTAAGATCTGGAAACAGCCCAAGTGTCCATCAGAAGATGAGTGGATAAAAAAGCTGTGGTACAATTACACCATGGAATACTATGCATCAGTAAAAAGGAAGGATCCAAGGAACAAAATAAACTGATGAATAAAATAGATCCATATTCAGAGAAGCATGGAGCAGACTACTGAATCTCTGAAGGAATGCAGAGGTGGTTGGGTAAAGATCAAACTAAGAACTTGTCTGCATAAATGCATAACCCATTGACACAGACAGTAGTGTGGTGAAGGCCTGGCATGGGAAGAAGGTTAGAAGAGGTCAATGGGGGAAAAGGGAAATAAATGTAATACTTTCAACAATAAATTTTTTAATGTACTATGGCCTGGCCCGTGTTGCTCAGTAGTTGAGCATCAACTGACCCATGAACCAAGAGGTCATGGGTTCGATTTCCAGTCAAAGCACATACTCAGGTTGCAGGCTCAATCCCCAGTTCAGGAGGTAGCTGATCGATGTTTCTCTCTCAATGATGATTCTCTCTATACCTCTCTAAGATAAATAAAACATATTTTTTAAATGTATTATATAGGTTGAGGAAGTAATTACATTTCCCTTCAGAAAAGAATAACTTTTGATACAGTTACTAAAATCATAAAACTCAGGCTAAGAGTTTTATGAAAAAGAGATGAACAACAAGACCCTGGCTCAAGGAGCTTACTGGTTGGGGAGGGGAAAATAGACATTATGTGAATAAATTAAAAGCAGTTTGCTGACTACAATAAGGAGCCAGTGCGATAATGAAAGCACCAGTAGATGGGCAGAAGTACACAAAGTCTCCCTAGGAAAGGTGTTGTCTGGGCTAAATTCTGAAAGGTGAATTAGAATCTGTCAGGTGGTCAATGGGGGAACTAACAGGGATTAAGGCTCAGTGGTTTATTAAAACATGGATATGCAGTTCAATAGCAGATTAGAACAGGGATCTGGGACATGAGATTATAGAAGGTAGGATCAAGTTCATGAAGTGTGTGTTCTGTCACCTAAAAACACATGCATTTAATCATGTAAACAAGTGGTTTCAGAATGTATGGGCCAATAAAAAACCTTGGGAGGGACCAACACAGATAGCCAACTTCTTATTTTGCCAAGTATGGACATAAAAAATATGTTTTTAACTACTAAATAATAATGGTAACTAACCAAAAAATGAATCAACAGGTAAAATTCTGAATAAATACATTAAATTAAAATGAAAAACTACCTGAATCTATTTTTCTTTCAACCATAGCCGAGTATTGTAATACTTTGCAACAAATCAATACTAGTACTAGACCAGGATATGAAAACCCTGCTTAAGACCACAGACCTTGTATTTTAAGATGAATCTTGTCAGGAGTAAAACCTATTTCTCTGAACAAGGAAAGAAGGAGGAAAATATGGGTAAGGAGTGAGAAATATGCACAGGTGAGTAGAGAGGAAACTGAAGAAGTCATTTGTGGTGGCCTCTATTCTCTCTATGAAAGAGAGAAAAAGGTCGGGAGAAAAACCATAAAGGGTATCCAGAAAATATGTCTGAGAAACAGAATAATGTTTACAATCCCAGCTGAGATGGTGGAAGAGGGAGCTGACACAAACCAAGAGCAAAAGGATGAATGGATGTCAAAGGCCTGAAGATCAAGTGGGGGGGGGGGGGG